ATTGTCTAAGCGAAGTGTTTCGTTTGAAGTCGCCTACCACACTGAAGGCTGACTGCTGACCCATAACGGGCAATCTTAAAGGCAAATGAATGCGTTGGCAATCCAATCCAGCAAATCTCGCCATATACGTACATAACCTGGGTACTTCGAATTCGAAATGGTTGAAAGCTGTTTGAACGGACTTTAAATTACTCCGTTTTGGTTTTGAATTAAATTCACGCTTTCACGACAGAGAATAGTGCAAAACCGTTACGCTACATGAAAAGGAGGTGGTTATAATATCGTAGTTAAACGAGACATTAAATGGGTTATTTGTTGCGCCGTACCATTTGGCTTGTCTACTGCGCCATTGTAAGGGCCATGTTCGCTTTCGACGAACCACTGGACACACACAGGTAATACGCTTCGTCTAAAAACCACCCGTACTTGCGGAGTACGAATCAGAACGATGGATCTACAATATTAGTCAATTTAGAAACTCCTTGAAGGTGACTTAGTAGTTTTAACTTTCCGTAAAAGTTACTGTGATCCATCAAACCTTACGTACAAATCCAATACTAGCAGATCTAAAATGACGCTTCGATTTTAGGTAACTTTTTCAAACTGTCAAGATTATTTCTTACTTCATACATATATGTATATCGCAAATATTTATGGCTTTGATTACCAAATTATGGATCGGTATCTTCGCAGATATCAGTTCTAAGGCGAAAAGCGTCATGTCTTAAAGTGAGCAAATCAGTACGAACCTGCGAACCCTTTCGTCGCTGCCCTTTTTGATACTTCTTTCGGCCCCGACTTTGCTCCCTTCTCCACTTTCCAACGTCCCCCTGAGACGATGGCTGCTACCAAATTTTGCCTAGCAGAAATATCTATAATTACATAGAACCGACGTAGTCGGCTGAGTATCCTTCGTATTGTTGATATCGTTATGATAGGAACTCGTACGGGCCGCTATTTTACTGCAACCAGATTTCTTGTCCGCATGTTTGTGTTCCATTGAAAACGCGGCTGGGTACATTGGCGCGTGGTTACCGACGGAAGCACTTCGGAACGTCGAGAGAGATCTCGGCAAAGCGGTGCGTAGTTTCAAATAGGCGAAGTTAATCCAAACATTTCAAAAGCCACACGAGCCCCTTGGTGGGGACCCGTCGCGCGCCTCCACGTTGGAGCAACCCTGAAGCGTGCGAAGCCAGACAATCCAATTATTACTACAATTGGTAGATAGGAAGACGGTAAAGCGGTAGACTCGAGAGCACGGGGGCTATCTAGATAACAGAAACGGACAAATAGAGACGAAAACAGCAAAAAGCTTGCTTGGCTTTACTGTCCTCGCTTAGGTCTAAAATCGTGCTGTGGGTAACTGTGTACTAATATTGGTACCCCCTAGCACTACCAACTGATTTCAAGCACAATCAAACGTGAAGCTTCAACTTGACGTTGGCTTCACGTAGAAGCGTGGGTACCCTTTGCCTCGGACTGAAGCAAAGCACCTTTGCGGCATAACATCCCACAGTGCCATCTAGAGGAGGCGCAAACCCCCAAAAGTCTATTGACTAAAACGATTGAAGAAGCTAGCCCGAGCGAGCTCAAATGAAAGCACGTCGTTTCATGGTATCGGCTGCAGTAGAAAATGAGTAATATAGGCCATGACGCAGTGATCGAAAAAAAGAAAAAAGACTTTGTTATTTCTGTTTACCTTGACCGCAGACGGCACTGTATTTTAGTTGGCGTTCGACCGCTTGCTGAGTACTTACCTACTGATCTCTCTATCTAGATGAGTTTCTGTAACCTACCTTTGTGCGCAGGTATGATGTGCTCGAATTGTGGCCTTATTGTAGGCCGGTTGTTGTTCGTTGTCAATTTTTTTTGATTTTGCTAAAGCCTTCGATCAGTGCCTGCCGCGAATGTAGACCGAACATCGATTTGTTACCGATCTAGTTAGCCAATTGTAAAGTACGAATTACTTATGAAAAGGTCGATATACTGTATTGTGGTTAACATTGTATTGTAAGAAACTACTCCCATTAGGCCGTATTCATTAATATTGATGTTTGCATGACTCACTAGCTAGGATTTCGTGCTGTGCCATTTACCCTAATTAGTTTTATTATACTACTATATTATACAATATTATACTATACGGTTATATTGGGCGCACGATTTTAATAATAATAAAGTGGTAAGTGGCTAGAACTGTTAGTTGGTAAGTACTTTTTATACATTTTGGCAAACTTCATTGTAGGCGCAAATTCCGCCACACAAACCGCAAGGGCAAACCGATAAAGACCCTGCGTTACCTCACTTTCTCTTGTATTTTTGTTGATGGTTCGAACTCGAAGAAATGCCCTTTCGCTAAAAATGTCCAGTTGTTTTATTCTCGTCAAGCGCCTATCGTAATCGTAGACGACTAAAAAATCGTAAACACATACGACCGGATTTGAGTCGTAGTGGCGATGGCAGGGTAAGCTTCTACCCATCAAAGCGTGGCACTTGCTATTATTGCGACAGCATCGTGAAGCCGCAAGTATAATGGCCGACTTTTTTTTTTGGTGTTTTCAACCCTGAGCCCTAGGCGCGACCACTGTTGGAGGAGATTGTCGCGCATCTTTCGAATGGATCTCGTATGGTGTCGTGCACTCAGCAACTGCAGTAGCAGCTGCGTGCATACCAATTTGAAAGATAAAAGTCTTCGACTACCCGAGTGCCAGCCTATCCATACTGGCTGTTGAAATTCTGCATCGTAACTGAATTTGCCTCGTTCTCCCGGGTTTGTTTGCCAACTGAGCAAGAAATGGTGGTTGGTCCACTAGCGCAAACTTGCCGAGAAAGCGTAGTGGGGAACTAGCAACGGAAGGGAGTAAAATGGGACAAGTGGGAACTGCGCGTCCCCACACCGCGTTGACCATGGTCCGTTGTCGGTCCCTACCAATGAAAGATTAAGGATAAAGGGGGGGAAACAGAAATTTGGCCTAGCCAAATAGAGAATGAAAATCGAGAGTGAGCAGTAACGATAGGTAACGAGAAAGAATGAAAAACAGAAGGAATGAAAGAAAAAAGAAGAAAAAAAATACCGAGAGATGAATATAGATGTAGCATTGGTTTGACGGCTGGTCACCGGAACGCGAACTAATGCAGACGGAGTAAGCAGCTCGTTTGTTGAGCCAGTGGCACAGCTTCAGGGGTGGTCTGCTCTATCTGGGCTAAGAGTAACGTATGAGAAGAATGAGCGTATTGGGATTTTTGAGGCGGAAGGCAGGAAGTTAGCAGCTCATGGCACAGGCAAACTGAAGTCAAGCTCAACCTTTATGCTTGTGGCAGCCGCGCAAACACCTCTTCGTAAACACCACGTGTTACATCCCACCACGGTCGGCGGGGACCAGAGGCTGGCGACATCTTCTTGAGCTTAACACCTATGTAGCTATGATGTGGAACTAGAGTGGAAGCCCTCAATGCTCAGGGGCCACTAAGGACTTACGTTGACTATGATGTGAACGAAGTGGCATAGTGCCTCAGCACTAGCATTATAGTAGGGGGCAGGCTATTGGTCAGCCGGTACATATACAGACTGGAAGGTGGTGGTGGGTCAGATGCGTTTGTGTCGGACCGAGAAGAAGAAATATCTAAAATTGGTTTGAAGCGTCAAGAGAGCTGATGCCAGTTAGATGAAAAAAGAGGACAGAGAAATGGCGAAAAAAAAGCGCAGGGAAAGAAGCTAGCATATGATAGTAGTGCATCTGAAGAAACCCATATTGGTTGTCCCTCCACACAAACCTCACTCAGCTGTGTCCGCTTTGATGTGGACTCTGCAGCCGAGACCACCATAAGGATCTCGGGCGCTGCACACCTATGTACTTGCCATCTTTGCTTTTCGAACACTGAAAAAAGCGTGACACAAGCCCATAGATACATACGCGAATGTAAATTTACCGGTGTGCAATTCATTGTTCTGGATATATAAAATATGAAAATGTAAAGAAGCGTACAATTTCTAGTCTAAATAGGACCTTTTACATAGACAAAGCTAAGAGATTTGCCTGTACAAGTCAATGTCTTGAGTGTTTAGAAATGCATCAGGCTTTGCGAGACCCCGGCAACGCTGACACTCAGACGTCACTGGTTTCCAGATGTTTCATTGCTCCACTAGTTTAAATATGACTATGCCCTTCGCTGCTGGCGGGTAGGGGCATCAAACCATGGGCGCTGGACTCTGTTCCTACCGCCTTGCCGCGTCGCATCAGTGATATGAGCTTCTTTGCCTAGCCGTAGACATCTTAGCTAGACCGAAGGGGCTGCATGAACGGTTGGGCGAAGCAGTTGCAGCAAATGGGTCCTCAGGGAAACGAATATGCATCATGAAGACGGATGCCCTTAGTCGTCGCCTCGTGCAATGCTAGTCTAGACTTAGCCTTCTTCAGACAGACATACATACACACATATCCATATCCATACACAAACACACTTCGTGTGCGAAGAGGTGCAGATGGCGATGCCCCGTACCTGCCCGATGCCTCTGTTGCTATCGCGGAAGACGTCCAAGGTTCACGCATCTTTACCGCTGTGCGCAACTGAAACAGGGAAACTGGCGGCTGCCCATCGGGGTGTGTAACTGTGGCTGCATGGGGCCCCCGGGAACAAAAGATGCATCTTTTACCTGCATCCCTTAACGCCTCGGGCTAGGTTGCTGCGGCTTCTTTCAGCTACTTGCTATTCAACCATGTAGCACTGTATGCGACTGTGGAGCGCGGCTACTCCAGACAGGAATAGGTTGGCGGATACGAACTCTAGACGGTTGAAACAACTCTCCCAACTGTATGAGCCCTGTTGCACGGCTTCAACCGTTAAGACAACCTCGTTAAAATTATGCACGATAGCAGATCCTTTAGCTGGCAAAAATGGCCGTTCTACCAAAAAACACTTCCGAGTAATCAGCAGTATCTACACATGCTTCGAGAATAGATCGAGTGAGTAATTCGAGTTCCTTGGCGATCTGTTTCCAGGACAATTCCATCACCTCCAATGTTGTTGTCTGCCAATCCAACCCCTTCACCGTCATCGATGCCCTCTCCGATGCCCTCACGGATGTCTTCGCCCGTTGTGAGCACTTCAGGAGGTCCGGGAAGCGGCCTAGGTTCAGGCAGTGGCGCAGGAGGACAACTTGGTAACATCGGCCATCAGAGCGGATCGAACCCGCCTACAGCGCCAAGCACTCCTACACCACAGGACCAGCTGCTCAGCGCGCCGTCGATCCTACAACTCATGAAGAATATGCACGTCGAGAGTCAAACGAGTCTCGCCGTTCAAATCAAAGGTGATAATGTAATTGATAATATGTATAAATAACTTCGTTGCTTAAAATGCGTCATCGCTTAAAATGAACTTAACCGGAAAACAGCATTAACGTACGCTTTGGACGTACAGATGCATTTTTATTTAGATAGGTCCCAATTCGCCAGGTGAGCCCGCATTGATTTTACTTCATTCACTAATCTAACTAAGGAAAACACTGTGTAATGTGTAAGTGCTAATAAGTACCAAAGTTACGAAATTATTTCTGTTTCAGGTGTGATGCCGGACGGCAGTGCGATGAAGCAGTTCGTTCTGTTTCGATGCGGTATCTGTAATCGAACCAAGGCGTCCCTCGAACGCCTGCTTGGCCACATAATCTGGTTCCATTTTGCCGACAACCGGAAGCGGCATTGTAACAAATGCGGGGCGCTATTTCGTTTGAAGGATCAGCTTGACAACCATCTGAAGCTCCATCAGCTTGCTAAGGGTAAATAAGATCTTTTTGCGATCAATTCCGAGTTAGTACGAACAGATCTGTGAAGGAAGAAGTAAACCCATACAAAGAGATAGATTAAAGTGCTATAAAGGTCGAAAATACATTGAGCATCCTTTTTCGTTTGAATTTGTTTGACTCTGTATGAGCAACAAATACAAAGAAAAGATCAACTCTTTTATTGCACGAACGCGCTACGTGCTGTCGCTCGTCATTAGGACTTCTGCTCAAACATTTCCATTTCTTGCATATAGTGTCCGTCTATGGAAGCACTTATCACTATGGTCTTTTTAACTACTCACTGTACCTATAACTAGACGGTAAAGGTGAGAACGCATTACTATGTACACCGGTCGTCGAGTCCTTCGTGGCCACGAACAACTGGGCCAATGGGGCAACGATTGCAAAATATGGTCGGTCCCTATGTCAGTCTTCCCCATTCTGATTGTTTAGTTTTTTCTGAGCTATCTACATCCTCCAGTCTGTATTGTCTACTACAATATAATCGTCTGTACAGATGATGGTTTATCTCATCCGCCTCATGCAGCACGCCGCCAGTACGCGCTAATCTCAAGCTCGACTAGCTATTACTAAATAGTACTATTTGGCCAAACTGTTGTAGCTGGCCATTAGACTTACAGCCGTGGCCAGAACGATCACTCCAGAGTACTCTACGACTAAGCATCAACTACCGCCATCTCTCTTTTGTGCCTCTCACATCTTTTCGAATTTAGGCTTAAATTTCCCTTTCATTTCGCTTCGGGCGGCATCGCAGCTACTCTGGGCCACGCGCATCCCATATCCAGGACTTCAGCTCACTCTTACATCCAACAGTACATAGGCAGGAGTGGCTCTTGCGAGTCGAAGAGGTCCCCACCCTGTCCGCATCCTCCGTTCATGCTTCTGGCGTCTCTTCCTCTCTTTCACTGTCGAAATTTCTACTATTACTATTACTTTTACCACTGGACTTATTCGTTGTCCGTTCGTCCCCACGCGCTGTTGCCAGCAGCCTCGAGCCTGACAAGCCCCAGCTTCGCTGTAGCCTGATTTGACCGGCCCCCGGGGGTAGCTGTAGAGAACAGGGGATAGCGCCGCCAGTGCAAGGGATATGCCGTTTGCTGCTGCACCATGCACACACTCAGTGACTCTCACATTGAGCCTGCAGCACCATTACCCCTGGCGCTGCTACCGCCACCATTCCTGCATAACTGGCCTCATGACTCACTATGGTTAGTGGTGGTTGGGTCTGGTTAGCCTCGGTCATTTTCGTTCTCTGAACTCCCCTTGGTCGTTTCTTTGTGTCAGCCATGCCTGTGCAGTCAGTTTCCGTAGACAATGCACGGTAAACGCGCATACACACAGAGTGGCCATATATGATGACGCGCGAGCTCCGCAGGCAGCTAGCAGGGAGCTGTCTTGTGGATCACCTCATGTTTCACCCGTGGTAATAGAACGAGCGCTGTAGAACCCTTGGTTATGTTAGTTTTGGCCAGCATTCTAGTCTAGTCCAACTTTTATGCTACTTCACCGCCACTAACTACTGCTCCTACTAGAATTAGTGAGTTTAAACGGGCGGGAAGTCCCGGAGCTAACGGCAGCGGCGGCTGGTGCAGCAGTAGAAGCGAGCTTTAAACCGCCCAGCTACCGATGCTGTCTGTCCGACAAGAGGGAAGTCCTCTTTTTCTCCTCTACTTTCGATCTAGCCACTCTCCGTCTTTATCCCGACCCCCCCCCCTCCCCCCACGCTTACCCGTCTTTCGTTTTGGCTGAACATTGTATATAGCATTGTATATAGAACTGAGCATACTTCTCGTGTTGGAGCCATTCACTGGCTCTCCGGTGTCGCCGCATATGGGACGACCACCCTTGTTAGTCTACGAACAGGCGCAGATTCTGTTGAGAGTTAAGGGCTGGGGGCCGAGGACGAAAAGATGAGGAAGCTGGAGCACTGCCGCTACCGAACCCCCGCCGGTATTGGCTAGACCGAACGTGGGAGATTCAAAGAAAAATCTCCTCTATATTTTGAAGAAAAGGAAAGGGAGTTGGGGCTTGGAATCGGGAACAGGATAGGGGGTGAATCTGGGGTAGTTCTCCAGAGCAGTCCGTCTCAAGCAGCAGCAGGCAAGACAGTGACTCGGTGGTCAGGCAGGCATAGAGCAAAAGAGAAACAGGGCGCAGCGTTCGGACGCTGAAGCTTCTCGTTACTGCTACTGTCGTTGTTCTGTTGGCCGCATGGGGATGGTTAGATTCAGAATGAATAAACGCCGTCTCGACGAGACTAGGATTTACTTGGAGAAGTGAGTGGAGAAGAGCCCTTGCTTAGGCGTCTGCGATCTGGGTACCGCGCAGCAGTGGCAACAAAGGCAGCTGGAGGCGCAATAGTCGCAGTAGTCAAGCGGTAGAATCGTTTCTACAGCAGAAGACCAACAGGCAGACAGAAGAAAAGCGAGGTCCACCACGAGCGAGGTCGCCTCGTGAGCTTGGATCTAGTAGCTGCACCAGCAATAGTTCTACAAAGGCAACCGCATTACTATATAGTCGACGTAGTAGTAGGAGTGTTAGTGACGGTAGTGGTATGGTCATGGATTTTGGGGTTATTGCGAATTCCGCACGCAGCTCGTGCCGACGGACGAGGCTACCGTACTACGGTACTATACGGTGACTAGCAGGCATCGATAGTGACTCAGTCGAGACTCTGGCCTGAACGCTGGTGACCCAGTAGATTTCGCCAGAGACTTCAAAGCATAGACATCTCTCGCTTTTTTTTTCTTGCTTTTGTCACCATAGTGCTGCTGCTCCGGCGGAACTTGATCGGAGGCGTAAGCATCTAACGCTATATGGTATAAGGGGCTGACCGAGATAATTTCGTTCCCGTAGCTTTTCGAGGACAACGAACCGTCTGACCAGTACCGCGCAGTGTGGTCTGCGCCGTGGAAATATATGGCGTTTTTCAAAACATTTTTGCCTTGACGACCGGGAAGGTGAAGAGGAAGGAGCTCAGTCAGGCGCTCAACCAGCCATAGTCAACCGGTACTATCCAGTAAGAAGAAACTTTATGCATTCCGCGCACCTCGCAACGACCTGCAAAATGGCTGCCACGAAGGCCTTGAAGCGTATCGATTTTGATGAGGGGAGAGAACAAAAGCAAAAATGGTTGAAGACGTATGTGAAGGACGACGCTGGGTTAAAACAAAAAATGGTCTACGAGGTCCAGTTCAACTGATGCAAGGTCCGTAGATTTTCCGACTGGTTCATCAATGGGAAACAGGTCGATACCGACGATGACTGATGCCTACCATCTCCTTAAACAGTGACGCAGGCCCTGGGGCGCGCTGTCACCTCGCGGAGGCAGTATTGGCAGCAGAGTCATTTGCTTGCACGCCATTGAAGTATGGTGCCATCGTGAAAATGAAATTCGAATTTGAGATACGAGCCATACGAAAACGGCTGTGGCTGTGCGAGAACCCCGGAGCCATCACGGGACACAGGCGAAATGCAGCCACTAGTAACTACGGGCGCTTGGGCAGGAGCAACGGTAGTAAAATAGGAAACTACGAGCCCACGGTCTGGCATTATGAGCCACCATATCGGGAAAAGTCTGAACGATGAAGTGATGAAAACCAAGCATCCTCGACTAGAGCCGTCAAGATGGCTCGCATATATCACGCATAGCGGGTGAATGAAATACAATTCAAGGGATGAATGTGCAGACGTTCGCTTCCTCGTTCTTACGGTGTCTGATCTGGCATATCGACTACGGCAGCCTACCTTTGCGACGGCTTACCAGGCCATGGTTTAGATTAACGGCGAAGGATGATCTGTCTCGTGAAACAAACGATGCATTACATGGTTTAGCATACCACGTCCGTGCACACGCTGCTAATTCTCATACAGAGAGATTGACGTCTATTAAAATACACATAGCTAGGTGGTCAGTACGCTCAACCTGTACACTTTGCTCTTGACATATAAATATCGATTACACACTAAATAACCAATATAAAATATACGCCAATTGATTGCGTCGTGAAGCATTCTCACTACTATAGCTGGCGTTTATTTTCTCCTTTAACAACCCTCCACTAATAACGAAAACTACAATCGTATAGCATCCCGTTCTTTCTGTATCTGCTTGTGTTGGCTTCGCGATAATTTCTCTTCATTATTACCGATTCTTCATCATCATCATCGTCGCGTATTTTCGTCTTTGTTACCGTTCACGTTGTCGCTACTACTTCAATTAGTATACCCCCCGCTGCTGATTTTCCCGTTGGTATATCTAAAGCTCGCTTACTTCTCCATGAAATTAGTCCAGTTTTATTTTGTTTATATGTCTTAGTAGCTCGGGTAATGGCGCTCGTTACGAGAGGACTTAAAATTCTGAAATTTCTTCTATGAGCTGGTTTTAGCGGACATAAGAGGCCAGAAGACGAAAGGGGGGTAAGGGGCCAAATTGGACGAATCTGGCGTTCGCCAGGATTTCGTCTCAGATGCTAGCATTAACACTGTCCGTAATCAGTAGCACCCACGCTTGCCTGGCATCGCAACTATTAATGCCTGTGGCGACGGTTTTATTCAGCTTGTCATCTATAGAGGAGATTTGGCGGCACCCCACGAACGCTGATGGTCAGCTGACTGTTTGACAGCTTTTCGAACATTGCTTCGTTTCGGTTTAATTTGCACTAGTGAACAACGAAAGCGGCAAACACGAAAAGGAACTAGGACGAGAGTCTGGCTTGGTATCGTCTGCTACGCTATTTTTGGGTGACTGTCGCCCTTGTCTGCAATGACGGACAGAGCGGATAAGCAAGCAAATGCACAGGCGGCGGGCCACCCAAACAAATAAGCGAGCGAGCGAGCGCGCGAGAATAATGCGATGTTCTAACGATCGCGTCAGTGCGCGAATAGCAAGGAGTACTTCAGTACTTTTCGTGTGACTCGAGCTGGCGGCGGCGACAACTGCTAGGAGCCCCATTGCTGCTGACGCTGGCCAATGTCAGCTCGGATTGTGGGACCACCCATAACTATCTCCCCCCTTGGTGCGCCCCGTATTTCAAACCCCAGGGTCGTGCCAGGTCAGTATTCTCTTGTCTGGAGAGATGTGACGTCACTATTACATCGCATCGCATGATCACTGTAAAACAGGATTGCTATTGACGCAGCTACTGTTGTCGCTATTACTGAAGCAACATTGAGCGACGATAGAATCGAGGGAAGAAGGAAAGATAGAAGAACAGCGGGGAGAGAAGGGGAAAGCGATAGAGAGGGGAGAGCTAGGGGTTAGACAGGCTAACCGGACAACGAGTTGCTGCGACGAATCCGGACCTTTTGTTCGATATTATTCTCCGTTGCTATGCTCTTGTCATCACCGTGTTCGGTCTTTGGAATAGATCTGTACGTATTTTATATCTTAGACAAGTCCCGTTGAAGCATTTGCGAGTGGAGCCAAACGCTTTGTTGAGTGTCCGTTGTCAACGCAGGGTAGTGTGGCAATAGCGGAGATGTTGAGGTGAGAGGTGCTTTTTATGACGTATGAGTTACAACAAGATGAAATAAGGCCTTTTTAAGTAGTCGAATAATGTTAAATACAAAAACTCTGTCTGTTTTAGGTTTCAGTTGGCATCACGTTCTTTCATGATAGAAGTTTTGATAAAAAAACGTCGTTGACTCTGTATTGTTATATCCGATATTAGTTCGGGTCGCATGGGTCGCCAACTCACTGTTTTTGTCCGTCCGCCCCTTCCAACAAGGGAACAGGGGTAATGGGGTAGTGGTCACATCTCATACAGTACATGAAGATATTTTGCCAACTACTATGTAGTTGATTCAACTACTATGTAGTTGATTCAGCATCAAGTCCATATCGACTAGCCACACGGACACAGTAATGCAGACACCTGCCAGGAATAAGTGAACTCCTGGTCTAGTTGAGGCTAGATTTACGTCTTGAGAAGGCAAGTAGGCGACCTCGCGATTTTAGTAACTTCTCGCTGTTGCATTCTATCTGTGCTTTTTTCCTTCAAGTCTCGATTTTTCTGCTTTGAAGTCGTCACCAGCTGGCACGACTTCTCTTACCTGAGCGCGTGTAAGTGATTCGGAATAGGGAAGTCCATGCGTAGGTTTAGCGGGCCTTCTGGCTTCCACATTGGACAGGGCACTGTAGCCGATCCCATCTTTTATGCTCCGTGGGTTGGTAATAACGGCTCTTGCTGCTTACCCTGCTGTCGGTGTCGTATTGTTTCTTTTGATATTTTCATCGTTATTCTAGCTGTTATCGGCGGACAGCGTTTCGAAGTCTGCTCCGTCCCTGTCAAACTGAAAGGAATGGCAGGGACTTGACAATCGCCTCGTTTCGTCCACTTAGCCAAGACAGCCGTCACCCGAAAGGAGCCCAAAGGAAAAAGGTTTTCATTTGAACTGACGCCGGACAAGTGGACAATGACGTGTCTACGAGTGATGTATGGGGATAACTACGTATCTGTAACGAGCATCTCGCTTCGGGGCTGAATCTGGAAACTAGATGGCTGAATTTGAAATATCAAGGCATATATGCAAACGGTTACATACAAAAAACGACCATGGATCGAATTTGATTGAAAGTTGCAAAAACAGGTATCTACCCATCTACAACATACTAACATATCCAAACAGATCACCACCATTGGCATATTCAAATGGGGTCGTCCGGAAACCGGGCAAGCACCTCGCGTGTATAGGCCAATAGCCTTGGGTAGTATAACTGCGTTTAAATAAACATGTCGATTGCATCATTCAACCTTCTGCTTCCACAAATCATTATCAGTTAACTCTTTCATCTTCGAATTATCACTATTAAATATGTAAAAATAAGAAATCACTATTAAATAATTGCGTGTTTGAGTTATCCGTGACTTCACCCCATATTGAAATGCGCTCCGTTAGTCATCGTATCACCACTTCGTGTCTTCTATAGACATGTTAAATCTTACGACGGGACGAGACGATAGGTTCTTTGCTTCCGTTGATGAACAAACCGAATAACTGGCTAGCGGACTATTTCAGTTTCAATTATTTATTCTTTCTTCAAAAGAAACAAGGGCATACTTGCGTATCTTTAATCGGAGAGTCCGGTTTTCGAATTGAAGGATTGTGAGGGATAGGTGAAGAAACACTAGAAGACAGTGGAGCCGTCTAAGCTTCGCCTCCTATTGATGAAGCGGGCGGTGAGGTTCAGGACGCTGTTGGGGTAGTCAGCAGTACGACGACGGTGAATGCATCGTGCAAAACAAATAAGCCTATCTCCATGTCGGTCATCCTCTCTTTCTCGTCACTTCAGCGATGTTGCAAATCGGTGCCCCTGGAGACGAGCTACTACAAAGATTTGATTCGAACTATGGAGAAACAACTTGCGAGTGGCGAGGTGAAGTGCTTTGTCCTAGTTCATCCATAGGCTGCTGTGTCGTTAGGTGACCGGCCAATTCTTAAATGTCGTCCTCTTTTCCTTTCTCCCAGCACTTGTTGCCCAGTGCAGTCAAACATAAGTTCGCTGGGCATGCGGCGGTTCACGTATTCTCGCCAATACAGTGTCCAGTCTCTTCGAGTCCGGTCGAGTTGTCCGTTTCGATCACCACTGCGTAAAGGAATTGTGTCGCGCCGTGGGGCAAAGATTCATCTCATTTTAAACCCCAGATATGGCCCCTCGATGCCCTCTCGAGTGTGTTGGCTGGCTCTTTTTACCTTACTTACAGTAGGACCAGTAGCATTTGCTTCAAAATAATATTATGGGACCTCTTCTCGTAGAGCTTACTGGATGCTGCTAGCGTGCCGTCTCTTTACGTATAGAAACGCCTTAAAATGCCAAGGTAACTGGCAAACACCCAGAGTCGAACGCGATTGAAAGGAGAAGCAAGCAACGTAGGAACACAATCTTCGTTTGAAAGCGTTTAGGAAACGCGGCACCGCAGAAGGAAGAGAGGGGTTTGAAATTTTCCACCACCGTTAGCCCTGGGCCGTTCCCTTATTACCATGGCCTAGTGGCCATAGTATTAGAGCCTAAACCTTGAGAGCTTCGTCCAACCGAGATCCCTAAGACTCTTCGTTTACCATGGGACAAGAAAGGGACTGAGCTGGCGCTACTAGAGGAAACAGGGCGACCAACGATCGACAATCCCGCTTGACGCGCCTCAGAGCATTTGTCATATTCAATACAGCTGAGTAGCTACTGCGTTCTACTAGGCTGAGCAAAGCATATCGAACGGATATTGGCACGCCGCATTGGGCGCAAACTGTCGGACGAGTTTTACGGTATAATGGAGGAACCAGAGGGAAAATAGTAAGGAAGCTAAGAGAAACAACGAGTGAATAAGGTCCCAACAGTAACAATAGTATTAGCGTGTTGCACTGCATACCGACGTAAGTGAAGTAGGTGTTTAGCTTAGCCGAGGATTTTGCGAAGTGTCCGAAGGCGACTGATGCTCACTGACGAATTTATAATGCAAAATACAACTAAAACTGTATTCATAACACGACGCCTTGTCCAGCCGACAAAGGCGGGAGAACTACGTGAGATAGATACATGTGGCTTTAGAACTACCATTAAAAAAAAACGGTTGCTTTAGATAGAGGTTGTAGTGATCGCAACCAGGACGAAGGCAATTGTTTTGCTCGTTAAATTTGAGATTACCATTATGTTTAACTGTTGGCCGAGAAAATTCTTTTCAATCACGTTTAATACATAGTGGAGTAAGTTTCTATAATGCAGGCGTCTCAAATAAGCAGCATAAGAGAAAGGCAAGGTCCTTTCAGAGACGTTTTCCTCGAAGAACCATATTATAACTTATCTGTTCGCTTACATTACAGAAAATGCAACGGCGCAGGAAACGGTGAAGAGTGTTGACGAGACGCGCACTGAGTCATCTGAAGACCTGGAAGATCAGGCAGCCAGACAGAGGCCGATAAAACGGGAGCCCGAAGAGAATACAACGCCAGTAACAGGACAGCAGCCAACGGGACAGCAGACCAACCTGCAAGGTCCACAAGGACCTCAGGGTCCGGGCTCACCTGTCACTCAAACCCCTACTGAAGAGAATAGAAGGAGAGGTAAGACTGAACAAGTTTGCGCTTAACAAAGTTAATGGTCGTCAGTCGACAAATCAATCTGAGACATTAATTAGTTATAGATCTGATAAGGAAGGGTGAGATGTTTTTTGGAGACGCCAACGTGTTCTAGGCTCAGAGGCAAACGCAGAGTATATATAGCTGTGAGGGTGAACGCGCTTACCACACAGTAGCAGTACTTTAAGAATTTCAAGAGTCAAAAACCGGCAGCTCTGAACTAAAGAAAAACCTACATTACGCTGGCACTATTACTATTGTAATTAGCATACATCAGTGATATCATTAACACGTACTGATCAATATGTTGAAGTTATTGCTGCGCAATCATATTTTAGTCATTTTATTTTTTATTGCCGATACCTGATTGGACTCTTTAATTTATTTTTTGCGCATATGATTACAGTATCATCTGCGACCGACGGAAGCCTGCCATTCCACTGCAACTTCTGTGACAAGTCGTTCGACAGGCTGTTTTCGCTGCAACGCCATGAGAGGATCCATACAGGAGTGAAGCCGTGTTACTGCAGGGTATGCGGACGGGGCTTCAGTGAGAGGCGCAATCTGCGACATCACATACTTCGCTTCCACGCCGCAGACGATGTACGCGATGATCTCCGCGGCTTCGACACCCCGAGGTTGGGCGCTTTGCAAACTGATGACGACGGGCTTGACGGCCTCGAGGATGATGCGGATCGTGAGGCTGACCGTGATTCGTTGGATCGTCTTGAACGCGAGGCGTCTGTTGAGCGTCTCGAGACGCTCGAACGATTGGAGCCGGGCTTTGCCTCGAGCCCCGAACAGCCGTCATCGACCGGCGGGAGCGATGACCAGCTGAAGGCGTCGCTTCGTGCCGACGTTCCTCCCGGAGCCATCGAGCTCGTGCAACGGTTTTCGCAAAGTCCGCCTAGCCCATCCGCGACGGCGGCTATCGCCAATGTAACAAGTTCCTTCATGGCGCTGATGGCGCAGAACCAGCTGCAAAATTCAGTCAACCACCAGCTTCAAAAAAACAGCCTGGCAGCCTTCGTTCCCCCCTCATCGAAAAGACGGAAAGGAATTCCGACAAAGTACACGGACGGACCTGGCGGTTTGGACGAGACCGCTCTTCAAGTTCTACCAGCGATCCAAGGCCTGCAGGCCATTCAGGCAATGCAGGCTAGTCAAGCTCTCGGGACAGCGGCGTCCGAGGGCCTGTTCGATTTCTCAGGTCAACGGGATCAAGCGCCGACTTTGAACAACAATACGGCCCCGGAACCTACCACCAAACTTGCGCTTCCGACTGACCTGAGTGTCAGTAGTGAGCACTAGCCGATAATGATGCTTAGAGAGAGAGAAAGAGAGAGAGAGAGAGAGAGAGAGAGAGAGTAAAGCGAAAGTGAGAGGGATGGAAACTAGAATACCACCATAAAAAAAAGCAAAAAAGATGACGAAGTTGATGAGACGCATGTGCCATCACTGGAAAACTGTTCCAGACGAAGACGATCATGAGAATAAGATAGAAGATAATGCTCGAACGAGGTTGAAAAGAAAATGGAGAAGCAAGTTGAGAGATAGCCCACTTTGTCCACGGTTCTCCAGCACCGCCGCCACTTATCAAATAAAACACGCATCTTACTTTTATGATATGACAACGCACGACATTGTTCAGTGAACGATTTCTATTGACAACGGAATGCTACAACACGGACAACAACTAGTAGTACTAACGAACTCAGGAAAATTTTGCGCCCGCGCCAAACTCTCAACTAATGGAGACTATATCAAAAGCCCCCGCCCGAAACACAGTAAAGGCGATCACCGGGGGTTATAATGGGGGTGGCCGGCGTGGGCGTTCGTCTTACTTCTTTGTACAGCCACATCGGACTCATGGCGTTGAGTCCTACAGTATTCACAGGAATCAAACATTCTTACACATCGCGTATCTAGGTAGGCCAGCCACGCGAGGAGAGTGCCGAAGGCTTCGATTGAACTATACCCACGAGAACGGGGCCTTTTGCACCTTCTTGCTCTCGCGGGTCCCGGGACCGCGTCCACACGTTCCAACTCATCTGCTAGCAAATACTGCTGTTTCTCCAACCACAGCGTATAGAACTGCACCCAAAGCGCGGGCAATATCAAACGGCGTTTTCGCGCAGGATGCCTTCCGGGCGCTCCGAACTGCCGCAGGGACAGAAGTTCGAAGCACGTGCGGCGGCTCGGTCCATGGGCCAAGCGGGAATACAGCTGATATACAACTCAATATGAGCTATATCCAATAATTTATCACTGATTGCCCGATCCCGAAAAAACTGTGAGGTTCCGAGGTCTGGACTGAGCTACAAAAGCGCCATGTCAAGCGCCAGACCTCACTCACTGCACTACATTAAATATGAATTAAACATACAGAATTAAATACGGAAACTGAAGTCGGAAATATTGCGTATGATAATGATAATAACAACAACAACAACAACAACAACAATAATGGAAACGTCGATAATAATACGATAATGATATTAATAATAACAATGAATAAGATAATAGATATACCTCAGCACATTTGTCGTCGTACGTAATGATGAATCAATTATAATAAGCAATACACTACGCAAAGTCAGTAGTGTGTCTCAGGTGTCTGGAGGGCCGCCAAACGGGGCTCTTGTTTGTTGCGTACATTCTGCGTGCAATGGAAAGTTAATGAGATATGTATTTGATCCGAGATATCGAAAACCGAGAGGGAGAGCGAGAGAGAGAATATACAAATAGAACTCCACCTTAGTAGACGCAGAAGGTCTACGGCTACGTGCCACGAGTGCCCGCGTCTTGTCGTCTGCTAGGTGTTTGCCTGCTGATTACGGCGCTGTTCGGCGCAAGTGGCACTTTGCTGTTGGGTTTTCGTTTTGAAAATGTTCATGCCCACTATTTACGGTTAGGTTTGTTTACCTGGTCTTTCGTTTAGTTGCCGCTGCCGAATAATAGGCTAGCCGGTAGCGGCGGTCTTGAAGATCAACATGAGGAAACGAACGTAAGATTGATCATTGATTGCCGACAGACTATTGAGAACCCGTGAGTGATCGCGGCATGTTCGCAAAAATGCACTAATATAAAGAACATAAGATAGACGAACGGCAACCGTAGAGCCCCAGAAACTGACTGTCAGCGGTGTAATAAAGACAAACAATACACAAAGACAATATATCGGCCGGGATACTTCCAAGTGGAACAAAGGGCTTCATTTGGATGTACCCCCTCATGTTGATCTACCTCGACGTTTTTTGCCGTGTTGCCCATTGTTCAATATACAAATGGATGAGCTCTAGCAAGAGGATTAAGAAAACGATATTACTATTATTACCATTGTAATGAGAGACTAACTATAGCTGGATAAGATTATGAACAATACTGATATGAGAATAATAATAATTATAAGCAAATGAAGATAATTAAGCCGATAAATTATGCGCCTAGCAGAATGAACACACATACAAGATAATAACGATAATTATTAATATGCTTATGAATATGTGGTCGGCTGCGTGTAGACGCAAATGTTTGTGCGCGTGTGTGTAGTAAAAAAATAGTAAGTGTGAATGATGAACCAATAACACAGGTTTCATAGAAAATGAAAAATGTATGACGGCAAAAACACGATGATCGTTATTAGTCTCTACGCTGACTTTCTCCTTTGACCCTGCACAACAACTATACTATGGAATTCGATCGGGTACGAGTGGGATGAAATTACACAGACAATTTTTTCAAAACCGACCTATCTCCCGGCTATGGCCGCTCCGACGCAACAGCTCAAACTCTCAATCATTTTCCGGACCTATCTCGACCATTTTACTGGCGATTTCCCGAATCAAAGCAGTTTTGATGCAGTCGAATACGCAAAAGTTTTCTAGGTGACCCCTGTCTGAGTATGTGGGGAGCCCTCACATTCTTATTTCTTCCCTTTGCTACACATTTTCTAATTATTCCCCCATAGTTTTTGTGAGGTTCGCAATACGGCTGCGTTCGAACTGGCATCATATGGAAACCCTCAGGGAATCAGGCAGGAAGTTATTATTACCTTATTACTACTGCTAGGTACGAACCATCATGTTGTGTGAACTGTGCATGAAGAAGCAGCCGTGTGCCGGCGTTACTGTGTGTATGTGTGAATGGCAGCGTTCTTCAAATGAAGAACATTTTGCAGAACTCTCGCGAGGGCTGGTACTGGCTTCGGAATCAATGACCCTATGAATGGCAATACAACCGAGTTTTAAGGGAGCGGGGGAGGGGGGAGAAAGACAAATGGTGAGAGGGATCGAAGGAAATAATTAAAAAGAGAAAGATGCTTGCCAATGATCGTACGAGGTCGGGCCACCCGCGGGGCTAGTGCCAACTGTACATAGAGAGAAAGAGAGGCCGTGACAACGTTACGACGACTACGCACTACGATGTAACCGACAACCAACTGAAAAAACTATGTGGTAACCGTAACTACGGGGAATAGAAGGAGATAGGGGTAGGACAGATCGGACAAGTCGAGCGGGTCTGGCTTCCCACCGAAACCGTTACGGTCCCCGTCACGTTGCACGTCACCATGCACCACGCAGAACACTTCAACAAATGCACCCGGTAGCGTCACGTGGAGGCCACGTTCTGATACCACGTTCTGTACTACTAACTTTGTAAAACACTGTAGTCTATCTTCGAATGTGCATATGTATGTGTGTCTATGCCGGATATTGAGCGCCTGTGACGGAGCAGATAGCAGACGACAAAAGGGGGTCAGAAGAAACGGAAGGAAGAAAGGAAATAAACATATGACAGCGGAATATACGGAAAAACATGCAAGAAAGCGAGAGAGGACAAACGCAACCGAATAACTTTCTGTCGATGCCAGTGCGCCGCCTCGAATTTCCCTTATGTAAGAAGGAGGCTCAGGACGCAAGCACATCGGCCCACAAACACTCACTACGGGTATTTACACAGTTTGATGAAGATACTAATTACGATGATGATGAAACTAATGCTAATATGAATGATAATAAATGAAGATATAACAAGAAAAATGGTAATAAAATGCTGACATACAATAAATGATTATACAATATATATAAATATATATATATATATATATATATATATATATATATATATATATATACAATAAGAACGTATAGTAAGACGATGAGATAATAATATCGAAGTTCGGAACAAGATAATAATAATAATAACAATAAAAATGCTGATTATATGATGATCAAAGATCAATCACCAATAAACGATGTCGATTAGATTAATGCCTGGACCAGTTGGCCAGGAGGAAGGCGCGCCTCGCAACTCGCGTCGCGCCGCAGCATTGCGCCCGACATGTAGCTCTGAATAAGGGGCGACATAAGTGTCTAGAAAAACTGAGAGAGGGAAAGAAAAAGCAAAATATGGATTGAAACCGAAACTGCAAGTAAGTGCGGGCGAACGAGTATACGTCTTTGGCCAGATGATACAAATGATGACCGCAATGCTGCTGCTGATGATGACGGCGATGATGATGATGATGATGATAGTAATAAGGATTTATGACGATGACCATAATAATGGATGACGCTAAGACAAAACGAGTAATGCAATATATTATACACAGAATAAGAATGAACAGAGACCACCCACAAAGGAACCATACATGAGGATGATAAAAGCGATGACGACGACGACGACGACGACGACGACGACGACGACGATGATCATAATGATGATACAGGTAAAACAATTAAAACCATGTAATAGCAAACAATTAAATAATAAAACATCAACAGCAAGAATAATAGGCAAGCAGACGAAATTAATAAACAACACACAAGCAGAGGACAGGAAAATTACACTCCGTACGAGGAACGAAGGACATCACCACCATTAATGATGATTATAAAAGCAGACGATCACCTCTTCTCAACACAAACACCAATGAGCAACGACAACGTCAATGAACATTGTCGATGTGCGTGCATTGTGTGTAGCAAACGGGATGTTGCAAATAGCGAGAGCTGCACGACACACAGTCCTCGGTGAACGAGTTGGCCTGACTGTTTTGTTTTTCATCTGGCGACTGCGGCGATTTTCACGTGGCCTTTTTTGGGTTGGGAGACGATAGCGGATGATGGAAGAAGAAAGTAACAGGAAAAAAATAGCCCGAGAAATCGCTGTGGTATACGAAAAATGGTGGTAGACCGTAAACACCAATAAAAGTTCCCCAGCTCCGCCACATTGCACCCACACAATTTACAATCACGACTATCTGGTTTGTCAAGAATAGCAGCAGAGACAACAGCGATCGAACTAGCAGCAGCAGCAGCAGCAACAGCAGTAAAGTAAAAGGGTTAGCAACATCAACAAAATCTATACAACACAAAAACAAAGGAAAAGAAAAAAAAAGCCGTAACAATATGACGACAAAAGTTAAGGATGAGACAACCGCGTTGCTACCTCAAATATGAAAAATTTTCTTATTACGAATAAGTAGACCTTGTGCTATCAAAGTGAGTTAATTAACGATCAAAATGAAAAAGGTACACGAAGACATTGACATACAAATGCATTGCTACACATCGACAAACGTTGACATCAACAAAACACCGTAAATAATGTTACAAGAAATAACTGTAATAAAAAAGCAGTGAATAAACGCGACAAACAATAAATTCGCCGTGCTCACCTTGGGGTGCGAACTGCAAGTGTGTGTAAATACAAATTTCGCATACATTATGTAAAAATTGGATAGTAAAACGAAATGTAAAATTTTCATTGAAAGAAGAAAAGGAAACAAGCAGGTACGTATTCAAGCTGCCCAACAATGCAATATTGATCATAATAGAGCTGAAAAATTGTCGCAGTTGAAAAATATTTGTTCCTCGCTCCCGTGAATTATGATTTGAAATCGTTTTTGAATTGCATTACGTGCCTGCCTACAGTCTGCTGCAATTAGTTACAATTCATGTGGAACATTCCTAAAATTCAAAATTTCAAGAATTATAATTAACTTAATAATGAACAGGTGTAAAAACACACATGTAAAAACGAAAAACAAAAATGTGAATTCGAACCTTTAAACAGTAAATAAACTTTTTGAAGGGAAATTCTGTTCAAGACGAGGGAACCGGCTGCAAAATCAAAACCTGTCTCAAGGTGGTGCCGTAAACGCACGAGGGAGGTCAGGTACGGAGCTCTGTATGAGTGATTATTATATTTATATAATATAATGTAATGCAAAGAAATAAAGTAGCAACATTAAATACACTGTGTTATCAATCATCGTAACGGTAAAAATCGCCATGTGGCACTATTTTTGGACAGTCACAAATGTGCTTTTCATAATGACCTTTTCGAATTTATACATATAAATACCCTATGTATATATATATATAGGGTGTTTAGAAAATCACGCAACTTCATTGAAATCTAACAAGGCTTTGGAATTACAAGGAAAGGCTTTACGTGGAAAGCTTTTTTTTGATTGGTCTACCTTGTGCAAATCAATCTGGATAATGTCATATATCTTAAATAGGAAAAAAAGCAAGAAACTCACACCGATTTGCTCTGAGGGGTTGTCGAGCGTTGGCAAAAAATGTTTAAATCCTGAAGCAATTTCAACTTAGAAGGCGTTTCGAAGTCAAACTTAAAAGTAATTGGAAATGTTTGTGTAAAAGTACGCATTTTACTGTTGGCCTAGTAAAGGTTGTTCAATGGAAAAATATGAGTTCCGTACATATGATATGGTATAATAGTAACATATTCACTATAATAGCATAATAGTGAATATGGCGTAACAATAATATAATAAAAAAAGGAATCGACAATGTTTTTGTAGGATGTATAGCGAAATATGGCTTACAAAGTGTGATTAAAATAGAGAATGTTAAGAATATACCGAAAAAATATAAAAATCTCATCAAAAGATTGAATGATAATTAGCTGTGTCAAACTGATACGTAGGTATTCTCAATGAGGATTTCGAATATTATCAACCTAACAAAAATGTCCCACCCTAAAGGTCACAGTTCACTTTTAGCCACTGAATGCTCTATATAATCATTTACGCTGATTTCGCTTATATAGAATATGAGAAACATTTTAAATCTCCTTTTTGTTGTCCTATTTGTTTTCTTGTGTAGTGAAGTTTCTGCATGAGAGTTTTCAGACAATCTATGTCTTTCTTTGGCCGCTTCTGAATGGCATTTTCAAGTATACTGTAATTAATATTTTCACTGAATAGGCAACAGCATAAGATTTAAATACTGGTTTTGAAGTTGTTATGCGATACCGTCAACGACCAGCTCTTCGATAAAAAAATGTTCTTAATTAACACAGCCTTAGTCGACAGATACGCCACACAAGTAAAAGTTGTTTTACATTTCTACAAGTTTTAGTTAATTCTCAAGGGTTATAGGATATTTTTGTTGTGCTTATTTCTACCAAAATAAAGGTATTGGTTAGGAGCTACGTCAGAGTATCGAGGTCGAAGTCGATACGGGTTAAATCATTAAGGCCGGTAGCTCTGTTAACTGCGAAGTGAATTCAAATAAAATTTAATTATGCTACATATACCTTATACATACAATAGAATGGGCTTTAGTAAGAGTTGTTTAAATATTTAGGTCAGATTTTTGTTGCTTTTCATTTTTTTCAGGACATTGAAACTTTTGTCTACACGATAATGATAAAGTAATTGAAGACAGTTGCTCTATCTGAAAGACCAGTCACTTTCCCACAGTATTTAGAATATAATTTAGATATTGTGTGTCCGTGATTCTAAATGGTGCCAACTCATAGGGGTCTTGCTTTTAAATACTCCGACACACATATATTATGGAACATTTATTAAAGTGACTAACATCATAGGATCTAAAAGGTGATAGAACACATGGAAAGAACTCAAGAAGAGGCTTTCCATATTTTATATAAATAGTCATTGGTTGAGAATTAATCAAATACTTGATTGCATTGATTTTTGTTAAAGTGGAAGTATTTGTACCTCGTATAGTAACACCTTAGCAGTCTAAAAAATAAATATACTCAAATAATATACGTTGCAATGCACTGCGTTTAATCAAATATGGTAGATTGCAAAGAAATTTAAACACTCTTAAATATATGAGCCGCGAAAATATGGTGGTAGTATTTTTTAATCCAAGTTCGAAGATCCGTTGAATAAACAAAATTTCAAAATAAATTTTCAAGGAGAAGAAAGTTGAAGTCTAAGAACGCGGTCAAGCATTTGACCTCATCAGGCGATATGCTGAGTGTTCTCTTATAAACTAAGCTTTCATGCGTTCTCTCGCAGCAAACCCTCTTCAATGTTTATCAGAGAATTCCACTTATATTTTTATTTCAAATGATACTTCCAGATACATCTGAGAAACTGGTCAGATCACATCTATTGTGCTTGTCGGTATTTCAGCACAGTCAACTCGTTATCAAGCCTCTATCTCCTTCACGATTTATTCCGCTAGTATTTCTCAAGTCTGATTTACTTTTAACTAGTACTATATCAATCTATATTTAAGTGGCATATATACCTGGCAAAAGTGTAAAATAAAGACAACAGCGACAACGAGCGTGATAATCTTTTCTAGGCGGTCACATTCATATACACATTATTTCCTAGCCGCTGGTTATATACTTCCTACTGAATACACATAAAAGCGAGCTAGAAAACTATACCGTTTATTGATGAGCATCGGCCAGTTGTCGTTCTTATTAACTTGTTATTTCATTTTATCCCAAGTAACTTTTGTATATTTACATCGATATCCGTGTTCATTGGGCGTCGCCCATTGGGCTCCTTTGATTGACCCTCAATTCCTTTTGTTGGCCTTCACGTTCTATTATATATTTATGCCTATTTCGTCGTCATTGCCAATCCAGCATTTTAATGAGTTCAAAACTGCTATACTTCTTCACATACGTTTCATTGTATCGCTTAGTATCTGATACCTTTTTCTTTTAACTTTAAGTGCGTAATACTCACGTATTCTATTAACATCTGTTTATATGTGAATGTAGAAATATTAATCTCTCTTGTTTCAAAATGTGTTTTTTGGATGCTTGTTCCTGATCGATATCGCATCATGTTACTCCATTGGAACTATTTGGACATTGTTCTCTTAATGAAAATTTCGCGGTCTCTCTCTCTCTCTCTCTTTTTCTCTTTCTCTTTCCCTCTCTCTTTCGCTCCTTCTTACTCGTCTAATTATCCAGTGAACTAACTACATAGTATTTAGTCATTAATAGTGATCTAGATTACTATCGTTCTTTTAGTAGATTCACTTACTTGCACGACATGACTCACACTTTATTAAGTTGACAAACGTACACCAGCCACTCATAACATAGTGAAAACTTGTAAATCGTTAAATGTTACAATGTAACATTGATGTGTGTATGTGTGTACTGCTTCCTTTCTTATTCTACATTGGGTTTTTTTAGTGATTCTCATTATATAAGAATGTATGTTTTTGAACAAAAGCATGGAAAACGTAAAATCAACAACAGGTGCTATGATCATGTAGACAGCAGGCCAATCGTAATTTACTACTATATTACTGTGTACGGCAGGTCATATCAGTCTTACTCGCTGCTACCTACTATATAGTACTTCTCTAAGCCGATTTATAGCACGTATAATTAAATATAGCGACCACAATTTCACAAGAAATAATAGTAAGAGTAATATTGGAATATCTAAGAGTAATAGTCCAACCCATAAGGAAAATATTGAAAAAAAAAACAGGGTGTTGCCCTGCGTCCTAATACTCCCTTGATTAATTTTTCAGTAACTATTATTACAATAGTCATTAAATATAGTTTTGGCACGGTCGTGATATATATACGTATATAGTATAAAGTATACTATTTATAATCTTTTCATCATATGCGTACGGCAGAGTTATTAGTTTATAGTGATATACCATGTTTTATCTAACTAGTGGTTAGAACAATATGAATTATGACTTGTTAATGATAATAAATAATGTCATATATGATTTGATAGTACGGAGGAAAATTCGCACGAGCGCGGCCCAAGCAACAGAGAAACAAATCCGATTTTGTTTTTCTTTTTTACGATGGTTAGCCCTTTCCTAGTGAGCTATACGAAACATTTACTTAAATCCAATGATTGATTTTAGAAAATATTGTTTTTGCTTAGTTACAACGTCAGTCGAGCTCTTTCAATTAAGTTACTGAGTTGATATCTTTTTTGGCAATTAGTATCGTCTCAAGGATAATAATATTATTGGATAATTAGCATCATAGTAGTTTTACTATTGTATTCGATGCTAAAGCATTTGCTAGCTGGAGCGGGCGATTGCGTTGTATAAATCTTTCTTTCATTATAAATAATTGAATCATTAATTATCTGCCTTGTGTCTCTCTTTCTTCCTCTCTGAGCGTGGCTTTATGTCAAGGCTATAATTCACTGTAATGGATTAAAGCCACCGCAGTGGGCCACTTGTCTTCAATTGATATACATGCCTGTTTTCACGTAATTATATATATATATATATATATATGTTTTGGTTTTTCTCATTTCTCGCACAATCGTTCAGCAATTAGCATCCAATGTTGTTACTTATACGTTACTGTTTTGATATATGTAAATTTGGCCGATTTTCTTATTTGATTTGGTAACGACTTGCCAAAGCGAAGCGTTGAAATTTCTTTGAGACTGCCGCCATTTTCAGTTTACTCCGATGCTACCTCCCAAAGCATCCTAAGCACTTTTTTTTCTTGTTTTGGACGAAGTATCAATTAATCACGTGTTTCACACAAATTTAGACGCAGGAGTCCACCCTTGTAGATATGCCAAAGGCGTAAGGCTGGGTTTCCCTTTAACTCGTCTAAAGGTAATCGTCGAAACCATCTACCCTCTCCAGGATCGATGATTTTGGCCACTTTCAACGACGTACCGCCACTTTTACCTACTGCGTGACGAGGCGACTCAAAAAAATTTGGCGTCACGTCGACCTCCAACAGTACAACTTAGCACGGCAATCTTTAGTCGTAATTAATTGCATCACCGATCGCCCTTGAGCGCTTGGTTTCTTCAGAGCTCCGCGCAGGCGTCACCAAGAAGGGGGAAGGAACTTTTCAATCCACGCAAAACATACTATTAAATGTATGGACTTCGTATTATATGTATACGAAGCATGCTACATGTTATAGCACGTTTGTCGTATGTTACCCCGTTATCGTAACCAGAAAGCTATGATATCATTAGTTTTATACTAGCCTTTTTATGCACCTTGGTTAGGTTCTGTGACTCTCTCTCATTTCGCGTCCTTTCTCTCCTTTGTCCCTTTCCTTCACCATTTGACAAATATCTGTTGGGTTGGGTTGGTTTGGTTTAAAACGTGAACTTCCGTTCGTGCCAATGGCAATGCATCAAAAGCTATTCCTCCGTGCTCGACGTGTCACGTGGTGGAAGCTCGTTTTGTACGAATGCCTGAAGCGTATCTGTTTTGTCCGTATCACGCCCCATGTAGTAGACACTGTCGCTGGTTGGAGACGCAGTCCATTGCGTTCTTTCCGCCATTGCCGACGGCATCGGACAAATCGTTGTCTCTACATCGGCCGCCAATTCAACTTTCGACTGCTCCTGAAGTAAATCCCCGACGTCATATTCTAATGGAGCTGCTACCTCGCCGGAAGCTCCGAGTACCCCATTTTTATCGTAGAATCATGACGGTCCCCCACCGGAACTTTGTGAGGGCGGGGGAGCCAACAGCAGGGCAGCGAGTTCGGCCTGAAGTTCGGCAAGTTCGGTGACGCGAGCGCCTAGCCGAACGCTCAGATGCTCCAATGCGGGCTGACGTGATGACACGATGCCGACTCCCGATGTCCCACACAGCCGAACCGCGTCCAATTGTTCCTGTAGGCGGGTAGCCGTCATTCGAAGGCTGTCGTTTTCAATGAGCACGGCCTGATTGAAGTGAAGGAAACGGAATTATAACAAACGAGGTCATTTGCGAGAAATGTATTAAGTGATAAATTGCATTGGGACGTTCATGTGACTAGGGGGTGAGGGAAACAATTCCTATCAAAGACGTTTTTATATCAAACTATATAGAGATTTTTGAAACCTCGCATCAAATTGTAAGGACTTCTCTTCGCTTGTAAAATTTATTTTGCTTGTCCGTCATTGTGGAGCATGTGCTATCATAAAAATTAAAGCCAAGGTTTAAAAGGGGAACGTCTTTCCCTAAATTTACTGGACTTAGACTGGATTATATTGTCCGTCTTCAAGAAGATTTTAGAAAATAAAGCAAAGTGGAACCTAACCTTCAAAGCATCCCCATGAGGTCCTCTTGGTACTCCAGATCTTAATGCTTCGATTTCTTCGTCGCGCGTTCGTAATTCACTTCCGAGTATCTCATTTCGTTGCCGCAGTTGTGCCAGTTCGCCACTTAATTCCGTCAGCGCTTCTTGGCTACCAAGAGAAGCCTCTACCTCAAGGACACGACATTTAAGTCCTGCGTTTTCGTCTACAAGTGAAAAATACAAAAGGAACAACCGATACATGTAACACTCGAGACGATTCTTCCAGCTAACAATAATGAAGCATTTTGCAATGACTGCTCATAGTCTGTCGCAAGTAATCTGCAGAAAATTGGGGATCCGAGTTTAGGTTCAAAATCGAGTGTGGATAGACACGCTCTGTTTATTTCATGGTGGAAGAAAACGTCGTGCCGTCCGACTAAATAGCCTAATTAAGACAGAACCACCGGACGTAAGAGTCTAAGCATACATTTTTGTTATATAATATATCTGTTTGAAGTTTATAAATCAATGTTCCAAGGCGTATAGATTGAACAACCACCACCACTTTTTAAATTAATTAATTTTTAAATTTAAATTTTTGTGAATAGGATAATTGCTTTTGGCACATGGCGATCAGTCCATTGTTACGCTTTCATCTAATATTTGTTGACTCCTCAAAAGTATACTAAGTAAAAAGCAAAAAAGCACAATTTTAATTATTTCTTTGACCTTCGGCGCTACTAAGAGGAATTGCCAATACATCCGAATACGTACTAATAGTTATTATATTATATTAATAATATACGTAGTAATAAATAGAACATATGTACAGCATATTGGGTTAGTCTCAGCTAGTATTACCATATCTTAGAAACAAAAACGCTGCACCTGTTAAACTTTAAACTAATGTTTATCTATTTATCATAACAGTACTAATGTACCTTTGAGTGCATTCAGTTGACGTTTCCACTCTTCAACATTAGCAGTGCTTTCATGGAGAGCTCCGGTAAGACGTGCATTATTATTTTTGAGCGTCTGTAGCTCTACTTCCCATTTTTTCGCGTTTGCAGAACTACATACGACAACGAAACGAAAAGTAAATTACTAGCTCGTAATGTCATTAGTAATAGAATTAGTGTCTAGGGCACTATTCCTACACTGCAAAAGCAAAAAAATTCTTTAGTCACACAAGTTATATAGCATTTCACTGACGGAATACGCGTACGGCATCGCCTACATAAGGAGCAAAGTTCACTTTGCTAATTCACTTTCTTAGGCAGTCTGAATATTGGGCGCCTGCCACACATAGGCGCGCCTTTGTCTCATTAAGAAAAACCAGCGTACTCAGTCAGACCCACCTCTGTGCCAGGGCGAGCTTGAGCCTATCGTTTTCGTATCGAAGTTGTGCCTCTGTTGTGGACTGAGGAAGTTGGTTGGTGGCAGAGCCTCTCGAACCCGCAACGCTCCGGTGTTTCGGGCTGTCCTCGACAGCGGACCCGCAAAACGGCTGGAGTTGTTGCTCGGTGTCGGCAGACGACGCGCCGGAGCCCGACGACACGGTAACGGCTGCCCCATTACTGGCGTTAGCCGAACCATGTTTCGCTCCGGTGCTCCCACTCTGTTGGAGACGGGTTTTCTCCTTCACCTCCTGGAACTTCTCGATGAACTGTGCGCGCACCATTTAGTTCTTACAGTTTAGAGTTTAGATACACGACGTGTATTGACTGGAGTTGGTCTTTGATCGGTGGTTCATAGTTAACCATGCGCATATTTTAAAAAAATATTTTTCAGCCAATTTCATCATCATCATAGTTGGGTAGCTTATTAGCCTTGCAAGCGGAAACAACAAATAGATCGACTGTAGGCAACTAACCTGATTAAGATCTGGTTCAGTTTGGAAACCTAGTCCATAAACGGTGTTCGCGCGAACATCGGACCATTGACCAAATTTCTGAGAGGTCTTCGTAAATGTCATTGATGGTGAGATTGTGGAGTTGATCACTGCCTGCGCAGGAGGAAGAGAGGTTGCAAAATAAGGAGGACAGATTAGAGCTAAGTGTTTCCTTGTTATTATGAACCAAAATAATAATGTATATTTGTTTTTGGCGGGACGTAACTGAGGATGCCCTAAGGTGGGTCCAATTATTGGTCAATGGTAAACTAATAAGGCATGGTAAACCCAGTTTAAAAGACTAAATCAAAAAACCATAGAAGTTCTGTTTATATGACTATAGCAGTTGCTATTAAGCTCGACCCTATGCAGACTGTTATATCAATGGGCGTAATTTACGGTTCAGCCTAATCGTAGCCCTGGAAAACGAAACGTCATGCTAGTGTCAAGCGAACTCATCTATTATAGATACGCTCGTATATAAACTTGCATTTCCAGTCCTCTATCAAGTCCGTCGGCTGGATCCTTATCAATATCGACCTATGCTCAATAACAACTTCCCAACAAATTCCCTGTGCAGCAAACATCGCATGCAATAACTATTCTTACAACTAACATTGGCGGCTCAACCAGTGCAGGAAGCTGTCCAGCACTTGGAGTTGAAGAACTTGTTATCGCGGTTGTCCTGTAGACCCTTACATGATGCGCACGCTATTTCATGAAATTAGAAACCGGGTCCTAACGGTTCGCTAGTCCGGCTGCGACGTTCCCCTATCCTTTTTAGGCGCTCAGCCAGTCGGCAGATATCCTTTTAGCGGATAGCAGTTCGAAGAGCAACGTCCCTCCGATCACTATCCCTAGAGTATCTTAACAAAATGTATCTATCATCGACATCTAGGACAGTTTAAATGACTCTTAACAAAATGCTGCCGGCGCTTTTTAAACGTTAGACGAATTGGTTAGATGGAAAAAATGGGATTCAACGTCTGATGGGTCGCACTACCAAAGCCACTGGCAACCTTTCTAAATCGGTTTTTGGTTTGTGGCTTACGCGATAAACGCTTCATTTGGGTTTCGCTTGTCTCACATCCCACGTAAAGTTGACGTTGTCTGCTGCTGGACCACAGAACGCCACAGCCAGTCATCAGCCCGTAACGACGGGAGAGAATTTTATCAGCGTATAAATCGCGTAAGGGCTAATAAATATATTTCTGTCCATTTGGATACAACAGTGAAAAAGGGGACACAAAAATAGAAAAAGCGCTGGGCTCACGCGGCCATAGAAGAGAATATGGAAGATTTGAGTTTAATAATTTCTGCTCTCACGCGGTCTACTTCCTGACGTGAAAGAACTAGACGAGGGGTTTGGTTGGCCCTTAGTTAGCGAGGTTTGGCTGGGATCTATTATCTGATAAGTAGCTTTCGAGAAAAAAAGTAGACGAGTGAATTTTTGTTTTTATCAGAAATGCACAAAAACTATGAAGCTACGAATATTAACTAGATTATACTGTGACGGTAGCCACAACTACCTTATGTAATATTAGAAAATTACATACGGCACTCGTAGTTTAAAAAAATTAAATCTAAAAAGAGCATTGTTACGGGACTTAAATAATGGGGACTGTATCTATATGCTGAACGCCGTGGAAGAAGGTTCGATATGATGGTTTTGTCGAGACGCGGCAAGGGACCTGGTTTTTTGCTATTCTTCCCTTGACAGACATGTTTGATTATAGTAAGTACAGGATATAGGTGGAATTAAAGAATACTCTTTGACATAGTTCAGCGTGTTAATACGTCGAATGGTGTTCGCGTTTATGGCCTTTATATTTTTAATTAGCTGCGAGAAAATAAACCTTAAATATCGAGGTACACTTATGCACTGCAGAACCGATGAGTACAAATTTAATGCCATACTAATTATGAAAGCTATTAATATTTGACACTTATTTTTGCTTTTTTATATCGTTTATTTTGATAATCTAAGTCAGTTTCAGCTTTATAAAAAAAACAGAAGCTTATAAGCAAGGAGTCGCGCTACTACTCGGACTCACTATAGCCGTTTGAAGTTGTACATCAGACTGCTCAGATTGGATTAGCATCACAGGATTGAGAATTCAATAAATTTCAATAAAAATATTATGCATACTTCCAATGCACAATTAATATATTTCAAATCAATTTCGTACTTTGTAAAATGTTTCAAAAATCCATTGCTATCGAAGAGAGATGTAAAAAAAAAGCATTTTTATCTCATATATGCTCAAGGTAGCTATTTCCGTAAACAGATCAATTTTATGAAAAATATTCGTATATATAAACTGCTCACCTTGCTGCCCTCAACAGAAATGATCCGATATAAATTTCTGGTCTGATCGTAGAAAAACGAGACCGCAACGGCATGGCTGGAAGCAGGTATCCAGGACCTCTTTGTTTTTGGGTCAATATGAAACACATGCGCCTTCGTCGAAAACATGGGCTGTTCACTACACATCGAAACAAAGTAAACAAGGGAAGAGGTTTTTATATTATAAACATAACAATCTACGCGTTGCGAAAACTTTATGTGGAACAAAACAATATGAAAACCACACGAAGACACGGTAATAATTTTGTTTAACAACACTCCTCCCTAAGTGACCCTAAAAATGGTGATGAGCGATGCTGTGTGTACAAGAAAAATGATCAGAATGACTGTAGTCATAAACGTGTACTTATGTCTACTAGTGTGTAAAATCCTACACCAGAATTTAGTGGCATTTCTAAATATAGTAATTAATATTTATTTATTTGATTTCCACGCCCTGCTTCCTATAGACTAATTATAAGAGAGCTTTTTCAACTAAACAATAAGTGTTTTATATTAAGCACTGTAGTGGATTCCGTACGGGGAGATTAAGACGAAAAAATCACGGCTCCAAGATAGCAGATCCATGACGGATGAACTGCGGTCGTTTGATAATGATTAAATAATGCGTAAAACCTATTAGCTCTTCTGCCAGTCAAAAAAATATACAATTACATCTAAAAATTTACATAGACGACGAAACCGAATTTCCCCATAGACAAAATGGTCCCTATAATAGTCCGTACGTCTGTATACCTTAAACGACTTGTGATTTTTCACTATATAT